GCACCACTATTACTATATTGTAGAATCTAATTATGACTATGTATTTACCATTACCAGTGAGATTTACGCTACCTGTTTGTGTTTTTATGATGTTAATTTACTGCTATTCAAATAACTCCCTTTCGCATTTCTTGAAAGCAGGTCTAGTAATAAACTCCCTCAGCTTTTGTTTGTTCAGGGAAGTCTTTATTCTTCCTTCATTTCTGAAAGATAGCTTTGCTGAGTGCAGAATTCTTCATTTACAATTATTTTCTTTCAATATCTTGAATATATCACCCCATTCTCTCCTGGTCTGAAAAAGTTCTGTTGAGATATCTGCCAATAATCTTCTGGGGTTCCCTTGCATATAATTTCTCTCTTTTACTGATCTTAAAAGTCTTCCCTTGTCTTTGACTTCTGAAAATTTAATTATAATGTGCCTCACTATAGCCCTATTTGGGTTCAAACTATTTGAGACTCTTTGGGCCTTATGGATCTGGCTGCCCGCTTCTCCTCCCAGGTCAGGGACGTTTTCAGCCATTATTGTTTTAAGCATCCTTACTGTCCCTTACTCTTTCTCTTCTATTTCTGGATTTCCCCTCTTGTAAATATTGTCTCTTTTCATTGTGTCCCATAATTCCTGTAGGCTTTCTTCACTCCTTTTTTCATTCTTTTTCCTTTTTGCTCCTTTGACTGGTTAATTTCCAGGGTCCTGTACTCCAGGTTGCTGATCCTCTCTCTGCATGGTCATGTCTACTTTTGAAACTCTGTACTGAATTCTTCAGTTCAGCTGCTGTGTTTTTCAACTCTCAGATACCTGTTTGTTTCTGTTAGTTTTGATGGTTGCTATTTCCTTGTCAAACTTCTCATTTTGTTCATGCATTGGTTTCCTAATTTCATTTAGTTGTCTGTCTGTGTTTTCGGACAGTTCGCTAAACTTTCTTAAGACGATTATTCTGAATTCTTTCACAGTTCACAGATCTCCATTTCTCTAGGGTAAGTTATTGGGGCTTTATTAGTTTCCTTAGGTGTTGTCATATTTGCCTGATTTTTCATGATCCTTGATTCCTTACATTAGTATCTGTGCATTTGAGTGATGGGGTCCCTCTTTAAACTTTTGCTTTGGCAGAGAAAGGTTTTGACCAGTCAGCTCAGTTCGGGTGTGCCTGCTGGAAATGTCTTTGAGTATGTAGGGTTCGCTTTAGGGTCTATGTTGGGTGAGACAACCCTTTGAGCTTTGAGGACGGGGACTGGGGAGTGTTGCACTGGCGGAGAACACTTGGATAGGACTGCTGTCTTGGTTCCCTACCCAAGAGAAGCTATAAGATGTGCTCCGAGGTTCCCTGAATTCTCTGGTCAGACTTACTAGTTGGTCAGTAATATATTTAGTAATAGGTGGGGCTGTGAATTAGCCTTCCTGCCCTGCCCTATACAAGTTGTTGTTTGAGGGCCTGAATCAGGCCGAGCGTGCCCTGAATTCCCTGGTCACGTGAGACCACCAGTTCTGCTCTGTGCTCAGGGAAAGCCGTGGGCTGTGCTCTCTGCTCAAGTGCCTCTGCACACAGGACTGCTGGATGGGCTGTGTAGCTTCCTGTGTGCTCTGGTTAGGGTCCCTGATTGGGCAGGTTGAAGGCCACATTCAGTGATGAGCAGGGTTATGAATTAGATTCCCTGCCCAGGCTCAGCAGGAAAAGCAGTTCTAAAACCATTAAGCTCTTTGTTGTCTTAACTCGAGCTGACCCACACCCTGAGCTCCCTGGTCTGATGGGGTTGCTGGCTTTGCTCTGTAAACTGTTAGCACTGCCTGCCCTTCTTTTGGCTTGAGCTTTGCTGGGCCACACAGTTTCCAGGTGTTCTCACCAGCCCTCCAGGTCAGATAGGACCAAAGACACAGTGGGTGGGGCTATGTCTAGACTACGTCTTGATTCACCAGATTCTCAAAGGCACACATAAAATCTGAAAGTTATTTAGAACATCTGTGCATAAAATGCGGGAGTTTTGTTTTTCAAGTGAAGGACCAGCTTCAGTTTTATTCATGCTTGGGGTCAGGACTTTAAAACTTAAAAAATGAAAACGGGATTAAAGGAACCATAAATTCTTAGAGAGCAAAGCTTTGTTTAAAGACAAGAAATGTGTTAATTTGGTTTTAGTGCAGTAACATTTCTCCACCTTCCTGGTATACTGATATCTGAAAGTAATTGCTAATGAAATCAGAAAGTTGTGCTTAAATTCGTGTGTTCTGATATACATTTTCCATTTCACACTAAATTTAATTATCACAATTAATAAGAAAATGCAGCATCATTCTAATGGTCAAAAAGAATTTCTAAATCCCTTGCAAGCTTATGTGTAGAACTTAAGGAAAGCAACCGTAAAGTCATCTCCTTTCTTATTTATTCTTAGAAACATGTCTTACTGTAATAAGGTTTGGGCACCATAATTGCACTTGGGTGTACTTCTTAAATTTTAAAATTGGAAAAGACAGATGATTATTTTCTCCCTTCACCAAAAAGGTACGAGATATTAAATGTTAATCTCTCATTGTTACACAATTTTTTTTTCCTGAAGATAAAGGGATATAAAAAGAATGTAATAAGCACTGTGCATGTTCCTACTAATCTTACCAGAATCTCCTCCTATATTAAACTAGTTCTTGTCTATCCTATTTAAACTATTCTTCTGATATTCTTCACATATGAGCAAGATGAGCCTTTGCTAAGTTTAAGCATTATGGCAGCCGTCAGCTTATAAAGAGTAATAGAGCAGCTTTATCCACATGTGAATCAGGAACAAGAAACTCACCAATAATACAAACAGAGTTTTTCATTAAGCAGAATTCCTGTTTATTAAGAGCAATAATAATAAATTTTTTGAATTTCAATTTAACATTGAAAGCAAATCCCAGTTCCCCCGTCTCTTTGATGCAGCTGGCTTCACTGTGCATAATGTCTGATATACAATGGCAGCATCTATTGCTACAGAACTGGTTTATTTGTGTATTGAAAACTTCATTCAAATTTGTATGGTTTAGAATGTTCAATGAAATGCACAAATTGAGTAGTTCAGTATTTCTTAATTTGTCATCATGATTTTTATATGTTTTCCTTCTTTATGACAAACTTAATGCCATTTTTGTCTCATAGGAAACAACGTGACAATTCCCACGAAATTTCAGTCTGATGCTAAAGGTAGGGACCGAGGTCAAGCTCGAAGTCATTTATAGGACCGTACACACTGCCTTAGACTAAATCTGGGCTTAGCAGCTGCAGAAAAATAACTCATGGAAAGCCTTGTTTTATTATTTGCTGACAATTAAATGCAATATCATATGAACATATTATGAAAGGGATTTTGTAAGTGAGAGGGAGTGGCTGGGAAGAAGCAAGGTGAGTGGTGGAAATGACACTGAAACTTAAACAATGTTGGAGGGAAGAGTCATCCACCTAGGAGGACTTCCTGATTGAAAGCAACAGCAGAAACACAAACATATTGAATTTAGAGCTTTGCAAATGCATCTCTTCATGTCGGGCATTTTGAGTCCTTTTCTATTCCTAGGTATGTTTATTAAATTATATGAATCCAGTAATTCCAATTATCCTTTGCATATCCATCCTAAAGTGCATTTTATACCATTGGATTACATTTGGATTTGTTTTTAAGTTACAGAAAAGAAATCTTGAGTCAGTAAATGTGGTTAGATCTCCAGGTCACTGAATCTTGAAAGAAATAGATTTAAAAAGCTTTTTTAAAATAAGGAAAAATGACAAAACTCTGGGAAGAATGTCACTATTTCTTAGGTGCTAATTAGAGATGTGTTTAATTGCATGTTGTTCATTTGAAGATACTACCTTTTGATCACTTCACAGGTAGGTAGCGAGCATTGGTCCTTTTCCAACTGGTTAGACGTGATGCTGGGAAAACTAGACTCTTTTACCTGACATAGATAACTTACCGTTTTAATTCCTGAGGTGACATCTTTCCAGTGTTAAATACAGACCAGAATAACAATTGCATTATAATTATCAAACATTTGGGCAAGGCATGTAGAGTACTGTTTTTTTTTAAATAATTCTTCACTTCATTTAGTTCTCTGATTACATAATTATGCCCTTTGTTTTTCTTTTGCAAAGTAAATTGCTTTAGGAAAATTTTAGTAAAAAGAATTAAAACCTTCAACAAAATACTGATGTACTGTGAACCTCAATTTTCTGTCTGTAGGATGGGGTTGTTAATACCCATAGGTCACGGAGAGTGCTAGAGGAGATAACTAGTTGTCACGTATAAATCAGTTTGTAAAAGCAATTTTGTTCCAGGGCATAATTTTCAGGTGCTGATAATCAGATCTTTAAAGAAAAAAAAAATCTCTCTTAACTTGGTTGTCATTTGTTAAACAAAGACTGGGATATCTTCGGGTGGTCAGTCAACTCACTCATGGCCGTGAGGTGAACTGTAATGGCCTCAAACTTACTTCTTCAGGTAAAATGAAATTCTGTTCACTTGGAGGCTCAGTTTCATCTACCAGTAATTGATGTGGTGAGCTATCTGATTTCTAAAAGTGTCTTTTGTCATTCATTCATTCATGCATGCATTTATGGATTCATTTAAGAAATATTTATTCAGTACCCACTCTGTACAGAATTGCTGGGTATCACAGGTACCCCTACCCCATCTCCCAAGATTACTATCCCCTGGTTGATCAATCAAACACTAATTTGGTATTACTGTGAAAGGACTTTGCAGATGTAATTAAAGTCCATGTTAGTTGACCTTAAAATATGGAGATGATCTAAGTGGGCCTAACATAGTCTCACGTCTCTTTAAAAACAGGTAGTTTTCTCCACTGGTGGCAGAAGGTGACATCAAGAGACTAAAACCCTGAAGGGGATTTGACTTGTTTGCTGGCTTGAGGATGGAGGGGCCCACCTGTTAAGGAATGCAAGTGATCTTTAGAATCAGAGAGCAGCCTCTAACAGCCAACAAGGATATGAGACCTCAGTCCTACAATCACAAGGAACTGGATCCTGACAACAACCTAAAGGAACCTGAAAGTGGATTCTTCCCTAGAGCCTTATGGATGCCCTGATTTCAGCCTTGTAAGATCAGACAGAGAGAACTCAGTTGAGCTATATTGTACTTCAAGATTGCAGAACAGAACTGTGAGGTAATAAATCTGTGTTGCTTTTAAACCACTGCATTCATGGCAGTTGTTTGCTACAACAGAAAACAAAAGCAATCATTGATCTCCTTTCATACTGTGACATATCAAGCAACTGCAGAAAGCAATGCAAGGGTTAAAGAGACAAAAGTTAGAAATGGAAAACCTAAAGATAGGTCAAGGCGAAATGCCTGAGCATCCAATGAGCAGTGCCTGTAGTAAGTGTTCTTAGTACCAGGAAGGGTGTTTCAGAGTGGGCGGGACTGTTTTGAGTTCTTCCTGGAGCAGGGGGCCCAAAAAGCATGGGAAGGTTTGGCAAGGCAGAATTTCTTTTATAATTTCAAATAAATGTCCTTTTGAACCTATTTGTCTATCTTTAATTCAAATTTTTGTTAAGATGGCATTCTGTAATCCTATGCTATGTCTGTTCTCCGTCTTTTCTACAAACCTTTCCTCACCTTTGCAAACAATAAAATAAAAAGACTCCAATCAGAGACTCCAAGGGGTCAGTATTATTGTTCCAAAGAGTCAAAAGGAAATAATCATGAGCCACTTATAAATCCAAGATTACTCCAATTCCGTGCTGAGCTCTGAATGAGATAATGTGTACATGTACGTAATCTCTATCCAGAGTACAGGAGGAAAGCTTGACCAGGAGCCCTGGGTGCACTCTCCCACGTTTTAAACATAAAATGCTTTAATCTGAACACTTATCAGTGAATAACTAATCCTAGTAAGCACATAACCATGCTTATTTTCTAACTCCTTTGTGGGCCAATAATGAATACAGATAACATGGAAAACAGGCACTGTGGCAAATGTGGACAAATAGAATTTAGAGACAGTGACAGAAAGCTTAGTCAAGCATAATGCTCACAAAACATAAAGCAAAAATCAGGACAAAAAACCATCAAACCTTCCCCAGAGGCTCACGATTTCATAAGAGGGTCTGCCTCTAGAGTCCTTTGGCTTTGTGTGACCTCCTGTTCCCCTAGCATTCATTCGCACTCCCAGAACTAAAAGAAGTTTGGACTATAACACTCATTATATACAGTAGCTACTGAAGCTGCAAGGATACATAAATAAATAAATAAAATGTGTAGAAGATAAAGTTAAAGCCCTGGGCTCATCTATTTCCCCAAGGTTACAATCTGAATGTATTTCCAGTGGGGAAAAAGGCACACACATATCCCCCTAAAAAACATTTTTTTTGAATATATGAAAAGTAAAGCCAACATACTTTTTTACTTGTACATTTCTCCATTTAAACTGCTATTTGCAACTCATCATGCATGAACAGAAGAATGGGATAAAATGAACAAAGCACGGATTTCTGTTGTTCCTGCCATGAAAAGTTACAGCAAATAAATTGCACCAGAGGAAAGAATAAACGTAAAAATAACCGAAATCTTTTTATGTAGATGAGGTGAAAAAGCAGGCTCCTTTAGAATTGCTTCTTTAGATTATAATAGCAATTTATGTTACAAGTCACTATGACAGATCAGCCCATAATTTATTTCAAGAAGTCAAACTAGCAAGATCACGAGTCCTGTAGGTGGTACTTCATCTTATCGTATTAAAACGGTCTTCCCAAATATAAAAGATAATCTCAACTGCTGTGCTCTGTAAGCAAGCAGAAAATTATGTAAATCTGATTTCCTTACTATGCGTGTGCTATCTCTTTAAAGCTTACTAAATCATATCCAGATTTGTAAACACAAAAGCACTGGATCCAAGATACATTTGCTTTTCAAACACTCAGAATGAGAAAAGGTATTTTGCAGGGTATAATTGAAAAATTCCTATCTGTTTTCAAAAGCTAACAAATCAACGGTTGTGTGAGATTAAAAAAAAAAATACAAAACATCACCTCAACTTATTATGGGCTTAATTGCTTCCTCATAATGGAGTGTGACAATGTGATTGCAGTAAGAATAGCACCTGCTTTGAAAATCACGTATCAAAAAGGAGCGCCGGTGAGAGGGAGCGGAAGCCCACGCGGCAGCCGCGTGGCAGCTCCTCTCCGTCCGCTCCTTGGTTCGCACGGCTTCTTACCTCTCTCCGTCACGCCTCTCTAGGCTCACTGCTGAATAACTGGAGGGTATTCTACTAATGCACCTAAAACGATGTCTGTGCCTGTATGCCCAGCATGGCGACTTCAAAGACAGAGGCACATGCAGGCAGTTGGGGCTCTACCTGAGCCCAAACTCAGAGACTGTCTTCCTTACAGACACAGAAGCCCCCCCGTATGGCCCAGACTACGCTCTGCTCTCATCTCCAGCCAATAACGGAGCCAAGGGTGGACTGTCCTTTCTGCCTTTGTTCTAAGAAGACGGTTCTTTGACATTAAGGTTAATTGGTTACGTTCATGCCTATTATGGATTTGCATTTATTTGCATTAACGTAGCTTAATCGTTTTTGTTAAATATCTCTAATTCTACATATTCTTTGACCAATAATTTTTTACTTTGTGTTTAGAGCAGGGGAGGAAATCCTTTACTTCTTTTCTTTTTTTGTTTTTAAATATATTAGTCTTTATTTATTTTTTTAAATGTTATTTATTTAGTTGAGTTTTTTTGGGGGGGTGGGAGGTAATTAGGTTTATTTATTTACTTATTTTTAGAGGCGGTACTGGGGATTGAACCCAGGACCTCATGCACGCTAAGCACGCGCTCTACCACTTGAGCTATACCCTCCCCTCTCCTTTACTTTTTCTATAAAGAGTTGACCAAGGGCAATACATCAACAGATTAAAAGATACTTAAATTACTAGCTATGTTTCAAGTTAATAGACATGTATAGTATTTCATGCACCTTTTAAAAATGAGATTAAGAAAAACAAACTCTGTTTCCAATTCCTGGCATATAGTAGGTTAGTTAAATGTTGAGTGAATGAGTTATATTCAATAAATTTCAGTAAGCAAACAAACATACATTTTGGTTCTCTATTAATGAATTGTGTCAGCTGTAAAATAAGTTAATACTCCATTCTAACTCCAACACTCCAGAATTGTAAGCAGTAGACTGATTCAATGATATAAAGAGTGTTCTGCACTTAGATTTGGTATGAGCCATACAAAGATGATGGCCAACAAAGACAGTAGGACAAATAATGAGAGATGTGCTCCAAGGGAATTATTCAGCCAAACATAAGAACACACAGAGAGACTAACCACACACACACACATGCACACTCACACAAACCCCTCATATGTACCAACGATTCAGAGACACATACAGACACACTGAAAGGGCAAAGGGAAACAGAAATATAATTACTGGCAGAGAGGAGGGCAGCCCCAGCGTATGTGTTTATAGGATAACGCTGCAAAAGACTGCAAGTGCCCTCTTGTACTTATCACAGCAGAAGACATGGATGGCGATGCCAGCTTTTGGTGCTTGTCCTTCTGGCAAAGTACATTAATAAGCTAAGGTGCATGTTTACACTGTGGGCTGAAGGTTTGCACACCTGCTGTACAGGCAGCCTGTGTTGAGTCCCATCCTAAATAGTGCACTTTCAGTAACAGTGTTCAAACCAAAGCTTCACAAAAATAAAAGGACTTGGCTTTATTTACCTATAAAACTGCTATGAGGGTAAGACACTGAGGATAAGCTCGAGTCTCAAATGCTGAGGATATAATGCCAATACGCTTGCACTGAAAGACACAGCTAAAGGAGAAGGAATGATTTCCATGTTTGAGGACCTCTGGGACTTCAGCAAAATAATAAGACCTCCCATGTTTAAGTATTGTTCTACAAATACATATACATATGTACACTGATAAATTTATTTAATTCTCACAACTGTCTATATGATTTTCCCCTTTTTGCAGATGGGGTAGACTGATACACATAAGTCTGGGGATCTGTTTTAAGCACTGGGTCTATGTAGTTTTAAGATCTTTGCTCTTAACCATTTTACTATGCTGCCCCTCAGAGATCAGCAAACAATATAAAGGTTAGAAGATTTTTAGAATAAGATCTGCCATTAAAAACAAACAAACTACCTTTGGGTTTCCCTAATAAAGCAAAGGATACTTTAAAAATCTTTGTCACCAACAGGTAATAAAGCCTTCTGAAGTCTTCTCTCTCTTACACAAACCAGGATGAATTAATGACCTTGGCAGAATCAACACAATAATTTTTTGGTTCTATGATTCAGTGGTAACATCTAGGTAATTTTAGAATTTCTTTCCATAAACCACATTGACTAAACAGCTGATACTGGCAGGCACAGCTATGTTATTTTCAGTGAACTTAGATTCAGGGAACAATCTATTTCTAAAGAAGGAACAAACCCAATATTTAAATGGATTATTTTGTAAGTCAGAAATATATATCACTATGTACCATGGTAGTTTTTAAAAATTATTTTTAAGGTAAAATTAAGACCCCCCCAAAAGCTAAGAGACATGCAAAGTCCAAATCACATTTCATTTTTAATTCAAATGTTCAGTAGATTGCACAATGAAATCCTTATCAGTGAAGGATGGGCCGAGTAAACTTCTTTTTGTTAGTAGCTTGAGCCGAATCACCCAGAGCCAATGGCCCCTGAGGCAATCTGTCCAGAAAGCCATCCTTCAAATGCTTTCTCCGCCTGCGAGGTCCACTATATGGTGCACCATTTTGCTATCGCCTTGGGAGCTCTCTAGCCATTCCTAGACCCATCCATACCTCATTATCCTGCAGCCAGACAAATGGCAGCAATCAGAACATCTTGGTAGGGAAGACACACTATGGTATGGTTGAGAAGGCCCTTCCATTTTAAAAACTATTGTTTTGTAGTGCTTAAAACGTTCCCAAAGAGATCTTCACATGGAAAAACTTTGTGTTTTCTCTCATTTCAAAGTGATTCTATAAGAGGAAATATTAAGAAATCTCTTCTGTTTTAAAGTGAAAAGGTCCTTGTGGATTACCCTTGCTTATTTGTGAAGGATTCTCTGGGAGGATAATTTACACTTATTACTCAACCAAATATTTTGAGTGCCTATGAGGTTCAAGGCCCTTTGCCAGCTCAGTCTTGGTCTCGGCCCCTCTTCTTAGGATGCTAAGTGACTGGAAGGGCAGGTAAAGCAAATGCATGAGTAAATGTTACACAGGCTGTGCCAAGTCCCACCTCTCCTACCACTGCAGGGCTGCCGCCCACGACTGGAGCTGCGGTGTCAAATGGAGGCAGTGTCCTTCTATTCCGCTTGGACAGTGAGCTTGCTCTGTCACACTTCCGCCATCGTGGCTTTTGATTCCTGGTTTGAAGACACCTTTCCTCTCGGCTTTTGCCTCTTTGGTCTCGTTTCGACCTCAGCTCTTTTCCTGACTGGGTCCTTCTCCTGGGTTTTGCCCTAATATGTCCTCCTTCAGCAGCTCTCTGCTCTTTCATCTTGGGGCTCAACGAGGTGACTGGCAGATGCAATGTGCCTTTTTGCTTTTTATGTAAAATTAAATTTCATGTTTTAGATTTTTAAAAATGGATTTGGAAATTTTTTTTCGTATTAAAGCAGTCATGCTGTATTTTCAATCTAAAACTTTTAAATTATCCAAATGTGCCAAAGTCCTTACAGCACAGAGTTGCTTATAAAACATCCACATTTTAGTTTGGTAATACAGAAAGTATATAAATCTCACACGTTACTAAATTTTCATAAGTGGTGTGTCTCATAGCTTTTTTTTTTAATAGCTGTGACTCTCCATGTAAGAATAAAAATAGGAGCAATTATTTTTTGTAACCAGGCAATAGATACATATTCCCTGGCATTGTTTAGATGCACTCAAAACCCACAAATGATGATTTCAAAGCAAATAAAAATATACCTGGAAATATGATGCAGGTATAAATCATGAATCCACTTTATTTAGAGTTAAAATACACAAAAAGTACAGTTCGAATATAGTAAAAAAAAATGGCTATAAGTTTCCAATTTTCCTGATGAAACGTGCACTGATGGAAGAAGAGGAGATGAAAAATGTCTACTCAAGATCCTCCTGCAGGATGTTGGTGATCAAGCCTCTTCCATCGTTTCTCATATTTCCTCAACTGACTATAAAATGCCAGCTCTAAAACCAAGCTTGCAGTTAGCTCGTCTGTTTAGAAAACTCTCTTATCTTTTAAGTCTTTCAAAGTTTTCTTCAGGTTGAAACTGAATCAGGCATTCTTTTTACCTAGCTGAATTTCTCTAGGATTTTTCTCATACTATACCATATCAGAAGTAATTTTAGGATTAAAGGTGAATTTGTAGCCCTAAAAATAGAGTTAATCATTTTGATCATACTCAGAGAAAAATTGAACAGTCTGTAGAAATTCCATACTCCTATTTTGAAGGTGTTTTATCTGAAGGGAAGAGGATCAATATTTCTTTTCTTTCTTTCATTCACCCATCTGTCCAATTAGTCAATCATTCATTCAACAGACATTTATTAAATACCCACTATTATTCTAACACTACGTAAGCACTAGGGATACAGCAGTGAACAAATGTTTCTTGCTATCAGGGAACTTACACGCAGGCAGGGAAGGGGAGGACAATCCATCGCAGGTGATGATAAATGTTAAGAAGCTAAAATAAGATAAGGGAACAGAAAGGGAATGGAAAAGAAGGGTCCTGATATTCTGTATGATCAAACATTGGGAGACTTTTACCAAAAATCTGAATAAAGTAACAACATGAGCCACAAAAATATTTGAGGGAAAATTGTGTAAAGCAGAGGGACCGTTAGCACAGATGCCCCAAGGCAGGAGCATACCTGGTATGTTTAAAAATAACAGTAAATCACAATGGCTGGAGTACAATCAGAGAGTCCAGGGAGACGGTGATTGGAAGAGAGAAGGTTGTAGAACTTGGGACAGTATCATACAGGCCCCAGTGAGAACTCTGGGGTTTTTTTTTTTTTTGGTGAGACCAGAAGCTACTGGATGGTTTAGGGCAGAGGAGTCACAAGTTTGAAATATATCACTCAGGATCTTTGTGGTAGAGGGTAGGTTAAGATAAGGGCACGTGGGAAACTAGGGAGACAAATCAGGAGTCCACAGCAATAGTCCAAAGGAGACGCATGTTTTAGCAGTTGCTTTTAAGGAATTTTCAAAGTGGACAGTAATCATTGCGGTCCGCACTGCCTGAAAAGTCCCTGTGTGATGAAGAAGTGTGACTCCCGGGGCCCAGTGTGCACGTGGAACAGAGAGACTCTCTTTCTCTGCAAGCTTCAAAGTTTGTTGTTACTGGTAATAAGCATGGCGTTTCTCTGTATTCCAAAACAACTGAAAATAGATTTTACT